GTGTATTTTTGGACTTTCTTTAATGTGAAATTTGGTGCTTATATGTTGTGAAACTAACGTTTAACGAAATCATTCTAATAAATGTAATCGGCGTTCACCTATTCAATATGAAAACACGCGATATTCTAAATGGTTCTCACTACAGTATATCGCGATGAAGTATGACTGTACCACTGACTGTAATAGAATTTTAAACATTACCGAAAACTGGAATTTATTTAGAACAACATCTGTGCCGATTTTAATGCTGTTCTGCCTGTCTACTTCCACCTACTATCACCTGAACCACGCTTAGCATAACTTGGGGATTGCAGTTGGATCACTGAGAATTTTATATGCTGTGGCCCATCTCATGAATATTGGTCATAATTTTTGTACCCCCTTAACCTTATGTATGTATTTTTGCCACCGTTGTTTTCATTAATTCTAAGTCATCCATATCAGTAATATGGCGTTTTCTGAGCCTCTCCTCTCCATTTCTTTTATGTGTCTTACCATATTATATCACACGTAGTCCATCCAAATTCGTGAGTTTGTAAAACCAATGTATTTTGGTTTTTTCTTCATTATTCCTTCTTCTATTTAATGTACATTTTGGAACGAGCACCTGGTTTTAATAAAGAACAGACTGATGGTCTGATTTATAAAAAAAATTACGTACTTATTAATATCAATTCAAAACGTCATTCCTTAAGGCATTTAGGGCCTATAAATGCAGTTTTTCTGCATCCTTTCTTATTTTAACTGCTTAGGTATCTCATTAGTTAAACTTTAACGTTTCCGCGACTATATGTACATATTTACTAGGTAGTTCTATGCAAAAATAGAGGTTCAAAACCATTTTTGTCTAGTTCCAACACCTACGTTGTTTAGTTACGTACATTAGAGTCCATAAAATGTCTAGAAATTACCGCAAGCTATAGCTACAACCTGTTCAAGTAATAAGTAGGTAGGTAATTTGTAAGTGGTTGCAAAGTGTTGGCAACCTGCGCAGTCGCTGGCTTCGATCGCTGACTCACTGTGTTACAACCACTGCGTTATAGGTACCTACCTACTTGCAATAAATTGACTACAGTTTCACAAGTCTACTTTGATTTATGATAGTACCTAAAAGGGGTTAGAAACCACTAGTTTGGGCTGAGCTGTCAATTCATCAAACCCTAAACGAACGCCGGCGTTCTAGCACCTATTGTTATTCTATTATTTCTAGAATAAGCATGGTTGCATGGTTGAATGGTTAAAAGAAACAATTTGATTGTTCTATAAACGTAGTTTAAGAGATACGTTATCAGATCAGCCTATAAGTGCCCACTGCTGAGCAAAGGCCTCTTCTCGCACGGTGAAGATTTGAGTAACACTACTCTTGCTCAAGGCGGATTTGCGTGTTCAAATTTATAAAGATGCGAGAAACAGGGATGGAGCTATAAAAGGTGTATAGCTCCATCACCCTTTTTCGCCCGGAAGATTGACTCTTTCACACGTCATGGTAGGCCTAATGTCTCCTTACGATGTTTTCCTTTAAGAACCGCATGTCGATGGTGTCAAAATAATCATAAAAAGTACTTACACATAACGATGACGAAAAAAGAGACCGGATGGATTTTTGAATAGTATGTAATTATCGTGAGTAATAGCATTTTTTTAAATAACGACTTATCCACGTGAGTTTATTGACAAAAGCTCTACTAAGTAGTTTGAAGTCAGAACGGGACTCTTGAGCACTAGAATGCGTGTCGCGACAACGTCGTGCAGAAAAGACGAAACTAGTAGGTAGAGCTCTTATCAATTAAAAAATCTGAAGTCGATTTTCAAAAAATGTTGTTCCTTATTCAAGTGAAACTGCTAAACAGAGCTAGTAACAATATCTAACATCAAAACAAGCACCTACGTAAACACGACAATCAAAGTCACGTCAAAGACACATTGCTAATTAATACTAAGTTTTACAGAACATTTAAAAAAAAACAAAACGTGTTTTGTGTATATTTTTTTAATTGTCACTTCTACAATATGTATTTATTTTTAATACTTGTGTTAAAATATGAACTAAACGTCGTTTGAACATGTTAATGAATGTTTTCAATCTTTATAAGTCGGAGTAAGTAAGTAGGTACCTATCTATTATTATTTTCAATGTTTATTTTGTTCCTGTATACCTAATAATGACATTTTAACTACCTATATTTATAGCTAGATATAGGTAGTTATGATTAATAGGGTAAATTTTCTGAACCAAACATTCAACAGCCGCTGCGATGTGCATTTTACAATAACAATACTACATAGTAATTCATTAGTGTGACGTACGTATTAGTGTGATGTATTTTTAGCAAATAAGCCTCCTCAAAAGTGAAAAACTTTATTACATTTTCAACTTAAGTACAAAATAATGAGGTTTAACATCGAATAACCGACTCACAGAATAACTTGAAGTGCATTGCGCAGGCGCCTGTAGAATTCTTCATTTAATTCCTCTAACAATGGAATATTAAATATTTTCTCACGGAATATTTTTAGACAACTTGTTTACCACGACACAGTGCATATTTACAAGCTTCATTACCTACAACGTTTCGTTTTAAACTTAGGCAAAAGGTTAACAATAATCCTGACCCGTCCAACTACGTATGGACTACACTCTTTCCAAATTTCTCTTTACATTTACCATTTAGAATACTAATAGTGACCTACAGCGACCGTCGTTCAAAATTCGTACGAATTTCCGAGCACGTAGCACCTGTGCCTACGTCGAAATTAAAAGTGAGTAATATTTACTGCTAAAGATTCAATTACTCAATGAACATCGAATTCCTAGATCCGGAACAACATGCACACCATAAAGAACTTATTGAGTTTATACACACAGACAGGCACGCCGGCCACAGCTGGGTCACTTTCTCTCGCAACCTTGATTCCTTACTCCGAGTACGTTAACACTAGCTACGTAAAATGATGACAAATTTAACAATATACTGTTAAACTTTTACTTTTTCCTGATTTTAAAGAAAGTGTTAAACTTATGTACCTATGCATGTGCAGAGATTTTCCTTGGTATTTCATAACGTAACACATTATTGATTATATAAATAACGATTTATTGATTGCGGAAACTTGCACAAGTACCAATTAATTAGTCTAAAATTATAGTTTCAAAGTAACATATTAAATAATTTGTTTGTAATCACTTAGATTTTTTGAACCAAAAGTTTACTTACCAAACAATCCGAAGGGAAGTAAAAATAAGAAAAAAAGTGTCACAGATAAACACAAAAGTCACTGTCACAAAATTTTGGCGCGAAACCGCGCTTACACAAACACTTTCTTTTTCAATACGAATATAAATTTTGAAAATACAAAACGGCACACAATAACAATTTCTACACGCGTTGGTACTACGGTCGCCACGTACGTTACGGACTGTGGCGTCGCCGGTTGTGGTAAGACGATTTCTTGTTTACACATCAAACCGAGAAACTCGAACTAACCGATCGTAGGGAAAAGTTATTGATGGAAATGTGTTTCCGCATTTTGACGGTGTCGTTTCAATATGGCTGCGTAATAACGTTAACAAACCATATTAGCGCAGTGCAGTGTCGCAATAGTTGTCTTGTCCGTTTTCGCAATTACCTACACCGTGCGGGTATGCAAACATTTACGGGCTATAAATATTCCTAAGAATAAGAAACTTGCAAAAGAATTTCTCAAAGACTAGATTATCATCACCAGACGATGTAGCTGTATTACAAAAGTTTGGCCTATATATTATACAAGGTGCATTAAAAAGAGGCATTAAACAATAATATAATTTATAACAAGAGGATGTCATTAGGCGTTGTTCATTATCTTTATAGCTATAGGTACACTTTACAAATAATTATTTTTAACTATCCAAAATAAACCTACTTCCTAATACATATTTATACATTTTATATCAGGTATACTAAACTTGTCTTAATAAGAGGAAGTATTTTGACCCAAAATTCTACTAATTCAAATAACGGTCAATAATATTTATCAAGTTATATACAAAACCAAAACAGGATTTCGGCTTTTTTTGTATCGGGTTGGAAAATCCTCAGACCCACCGCCCTCGGGGAAAGGCCAAGGGTACTTTCAAACTCTTACTGACTGAAAACCAACCCGGTGTTCCTCCATTTAAGTACTTACCCATGTGTCGGAGGGGCGGGTATCGCGAGAAGCTTATTTCGGCACCAGATATGAGATATAGTTGGGTTATACATATATGTGCCTACCTAGGTACATATATGTATTAAAAATTACCACACTTTCATAATTAAATTAAGACCAACAATTCAAAGCAGCCGTTATTTGAATACCCCAAGAGTAAAGAATTAGTAATAGGTTCACTGGATTTCCGTTATGTGGGCTCGCAATGCGGATATGGCTTATAATGATCATAATATATTCACCACGAGGCAGTCTTTTTGCTTTACCTTCGTAAACAGTATCGATTTTGCTCACACATATTACACAGTATTTATTTACAAATTTCAGAAAAATAGATTTCAAATTCCTTAATAGCAACCTATGGGTATCGGTAATAGCAATATTTGCTATAAAAATCATAGCATTGTGCTCATACATAAACTTGCTATAAAACTTCTTCAGGCGCACTGTTAAGCATCTCAAAATATTTATTGTGGTAAATGTGTGAAATAACTTGTAAACTTGATATTTTTTATTTATAACGTTTTAATATTTCTTAAATTGCTTGGTAATCAAATGCAAATGAAACAATAAACAAGTATTTTTATTTGTTACAATGGCATAATAAGCTTAATATAAATTTGTTTAAAAATACCTTATTACTACCTACTTAACATAATATAATTCTATTAAAAAAATATTTATAATAGACTGATAAACAGTCACCATTTGAAAAATAAAATATTTTGCAAATATAAGTAGTTAACGAAACTTAACTCCGCTAGAAATAACAAAACGTTCACGTATCGTATTTTACAATGTCAAATTAAAGTCACCATTTGGAGGTTATGTTGATGTAAAAAATAATTTCGTCCTATTTTCTCCCAAATAACAAAAAATACCAACATGTCGTTGTTAAGAACATTTGTATCGCGATACGTTTGTAAGTTTCTACAAGTATTAACTCAAAAATTGTGCCATGATAACATCTTTACTCGATATATAACAACCTAAAATTATTTATAAATAAGCTGTCATTGAGCGTATTTTTTACTTTCAGTGCCGAACTCATACCGAACAACAACGAGATTTTCATCTACAGACGCAAAGTTATCTTCATGTGATGACGAACCAGTAACAATGCCAAACCCTTACAAAAAGGAACGACGCCAATGTATCCTGTGCAAGCTTAAGATCAAACCAGATTACAAGAACTACAGATTATTGTCTCAATTCCAGAGTCCATACACTGGCCGCATTTACGGAAGGCATATAACTGGATTATGCAAATCAAAACAGGAACAAGTTGAAAATGAGATCAAAAAGGCTCAAAACTGTGCCTTTATGCCTTACTATTATAAGGACAAGACCTTCTTAAAAGACCCTAAGCTGTTTGACCCTGAGAATCCCATTAGATCCCATAGATTTTAATGTATAGTTGTAGTGCCTGTAGTTATGTTGTAACATTGTTGAAATAAATTATATTGTAAAGAAAATTTCTTTTATTGCATTCTTATTAATTTATAGATAAGTAGATACTTATTAAGGATTAAATAATTAGAATAATTTTAACACACATCTGTAACTTACAAAATGCATTGAAAAATATACAACTAATACCTTACTTAAATTGAAACAAATGTTAATAACTACTACTAAGCTGTACAAGAAAAATATCCTAAAACTTTTGCGATAACAACTTAAATAATGGAAACGCAATGAGGCAATAATGTCACAGAGGATACCAGTGTCCTCTTGGGGATAAGTAGGTAAAATTTAATAAAAAATAATCATTTATATATCCTGAAATTTATCTAAGATAATGCTAGCATCATTAGGTTCATTAAAACAATCATTTTCTGCATCATATCCAACTAAAGATGGCGGTATTTTCAAAGTTCTCAACATTTCTGCATAATCCATATCCTGTTTGTCATGAAACTTAGTTTTCATTAAATCTAAAAGTTCCACCAAAGCATTTTGGCATCCCTTTTGCCATTTTTTTATTAAATTCCTTAATTCCGCTGTTTCTGGGTTTATAGATTGAGCTAAAAGAAGTTTTTTCTTTGTCTCTATTCTTGCTTTTAATTCATCAATGTCTTGCTGGGTTATTGAACCGGTAGACTTAGCTTTTGAAGGTTTGCTAACTTTATCATAAGTTTTTCTAATTAAAATTGTTTTCCTATTGATGTCAAAATCATCGTCATCATCATCGTAAGAGCTGTGTAAAGAAGGTTTAGGTTGTACTTTGTGCTTTTCTGGTTTAAGTTTCAGTGGTTTATTTATTTTTAATTTATGTTTAGGAGATTTAGTTTCTTTCTCTTTTACTTTGCTGACAATTACTTTGCTTGATTTGTCTACAAAATCATCATCTTCATTAATATCTGTGATATCTTTAGGTGTAGGTATTGTTGCATCTTCAATTGCTTTCCCTTGCTTACTTTTAGATGAATTTATTTGATTTAGAGGAATTTCATCAGAATCAGAATCAAATAAAGCTTGAGATGAGGAGTTTCCCTGTTTCTCTTCATTTCGCTTAGTATCATTATTACTGCCTTCAGTTTTCTTGAATATCTTTCTTTGTATGACAACTATGCACTCTTTTCTTAGATCATTTGGACTTCTCTCTTTTATTTTGTATTCTGTATCTTTTGGAGTTTCACTATTTTTAGTATCAGCAGCTATATCAACATCAGCTAGTTCATTGTCACAGACATCTGGCTCCTCATTTAAATGTTTATTATTTTTAGGAATAGTTTTCAGTCTTGGAGATGGTTTTTTTGATTTTTTTGACCTGGTCCTTACTGGAGTAGAAACCTCTTCAATATTTCCTATATTATCAACAATTACATCCTCAGCTGTTTCCTCCCTTATTGGTATTGCACAGTTTTTATTTGTTTGTTCTAAATTAACACCTGCTTCCTCTTGAGAACAATTTATAGCTGTTAATAGTATCTTAGACTTCTTTCTACGAGGTAATTCAACATTTCTAGACGGAGTTTTGTCAATTTCACTGCTTGGCTCAGCTTTTATTTCACTTATGTTGTCAACATCAGATACTTCGGGGGTTTTTTCAACATTATCGTCTAAAACAAGAGATTTACGCTTCCTCGTGTCAATATTTACTTCTCTTACAGTGGGAGTACTTCCAGACAAAGGTGATATAAACGGTGAAGGCCCCTTGTTTCTCCAATTCCGCGAAAGACCAACTCTTCGACATGGAGTCAAAAGGGACTTACTGATCCCACCAGGAGTTTTTGGAGAGTTAGTGGAATTTGATTTAATAGCTGAAACATTCTTCATTTTCCATAAACCAGGTTATCAATTAAATTTCTATCAAGTATTATTATATTTTGTTTATTGTGAAAAGATGATATTGTCAGTTTCAATCTGTCAATCTTTTCTCATACCATTCCCGATTCCCGCCACTGAATTGAATGATTATGTACTGTCATACTTTCATTCATTCAGTTTTCTGTGCTGCCATCAAAAAATTTTTAATCAACATTTTTTTAAATCTTTTACCCCTAGATATAGCTCAACATTGCAATATATTCCTATTTCTACTTCTCGTCTTTGTTTCGTAAATCAGAAAAGCGAAAAGTTTCAGTAACGCAATAATAAATGGTATGTAGCAATTTAATGTAATTCAAATTGCTAAGTTATTTATTCTATCAGACAAATTATAGAAATAAGAAGTGCATCAGTGACTTAACAACAGTGCGTAAAATAAATTTCAAATTCATGTTATTTTACTTCTGTGGATTACAATGATTTGGTTTCCACTGATTTTGGTACAGTTAAATGTCAATTAATGGCAATATTTCGATGATTGTGCCGCCTAGATTTAAATTAATAAAAAGAAACAAATAATCGTAAGTGAAACATTTATTTTGCTCATAGGTCAAATTATTATTTTGATCTAATTAGGGAAATAACACCTATATGGTACCTAAATAAGTAAATAATTTTAATTTTATTTGCAATTTTCGATCCAATAGCTTCATGATGGCTTCATGGATTTCATGGCATTCAACTTTCATTTCACTCATTCATGAGTCAAATTTTATTTCATTCGCTCACCATCTTTCAAAAATATTCCGTACCGTGGTGATAACGATACGATTGTTATTTTAATTAAAAATCCCGACTCGAAAGCGATAGTTTAACGATTTCTATTAACTTTATAGTTAAAGTGCTCTTAATTTATAAAGCGTATAAATTTTCCGGTTCTTGTGAATAAACACATTACATAATGCCGCTGCTGCGATTGACAACGGGAACTTTCGGCCAGCTACGCACTTTCGCGACGTCACCAGCCCTAGGGAAGAGAGTGAAGACCTTCGCAGTGTACCGCTGGAATCCAGACGAGCCCGACAAGAAGCCATATACTCAAAATTATGAAGTGGATCTCGACGACTGCGCACCTATGGTGTTGGACGCTTTGCTGAAAATCAAAAATGAAATGGACCCAACCCTGACGTTCAGGCGTTCATGTCGCGAGGGTGTATGCGGCTCCTGTGCCATGAACATCGATGGCGTCAACACACTGGCTTGCATCAGTCACATCGACGTAAACCTGAACAAGCCCACTAAAATCTATCCATTGCCTCACATGTACGTTGTAAAGGATCTCGTGCCAGATCTGACTAACTTTTACCGGCAGTACCAGTCTATCGAGCCTTGGCTGCAGCGCGACAAAGAGGCTGCAAAAGGTAAGGAGACACAGCTGCTGCAAGACGTAAAGGACCGCGAGAAACTCGACGGTCTCTACGAATGCGTGCTATGCGCGTGCTGCTCGACCAGTTGTCCGTCGTACTGGTGGAACGGCGACAAGTACCTCGGGCCCGCAGTGCTCATGCAGGCCTATAGGTGGATCATTGATTCCCGCGATGACGCCACTCAGAAGCGTCTCTCCAAGCTTAAAGACACATACTCTGTTTACCGTTGTCACACTATCATGAACTGCACACGAACATGCCCTAAGGGCTTGAACCCTGGCCGTGCTATTGCCCAGATCAAGACCATGTTATCAGGTATGGTCAAGAAGCAGCCACCAATCATGGACCCCTCAGGTCTTGAGAAGCAGGCTGCACACAACTAGACATCACACACTAACTGATAAAAGGCTGGAGACTTGATAGTCAGACAGTACAAGTACTTAATAGGTTCAATCAATGACAACCTCAGTTAAGCTACCTTAGATTGTTACCACACATATAAAGCAGTAAGTAGGGATAAGATTGTTTTTGTATCCATAATCTGCAAGAACTGTAAATAATACAAGAGTATATTTTATCTGTAGAACAATAACATAAAGTAGTTGCAGTCACATTAACAAGCAGCCATAATGTAATGCCAATTTGTTTTTATATTTTAAGCAGCAGGAACTGCTGTCAAACTTCCTAAACATATAACAAAAAAAATATTTTTGATGTTTATTGTTGGTCAGCTGAGTAGTGTAATTGTTTGATAAAACCTTATAGCATTTTTAGACAGTTTTTCTTTCAAGTAGCTCTTATTGAGATTTAAGGAAGGCAGGTCCAAAAATAGGAAATAAAAAACCATATTAAAACTTGCTAACACCCAAAATTGTTAAAGTTTAAAAAAAACTGGCTCTAAACTTGTGAAATCTATAAAAGTTTTGACTTCTTTTCTAAAAGTATTATTCAAGGTCAATGACGAAAACATTAACATTTTATCAATATTTCTTTTATCTCAACTCAAATGTTTTTTGCAACCTGTGTAATATGCACAAAAACTATAATCATTTATGTTATTTGAGTAGTGTTTTCTTGCACCTCAATTGCTTTGACTGCCATTTTTGTTAAATAAAATGGCAAGCTAAAAGGATATAAAATTATTACCAACTTACATTAACTTCTTTCCATTTTTTTTTTATCTTTTTCAAATAAACTCTCCTCATTTTACAATCTTAGTGGTCAAAAAGTCAACATGTTTGGCTTATAAACTTTAGTACAAAATGGACATTTGCAATAAATCTGATAATTATTTTATTGATATTAAATTGTGAAATTATTCAAAGTATTATAGTAGAAAGTATTTTATAGTACGGATGCAACTTCATTTTTAAATTATTGAGCATCGCATGTTGTATTTATTGTTCATTTCATGTGTTGTGGACGCATTGAACTGTATTAAAGTTGTTAATAAATAATCATGTAAGTAAGCATTTGTATTTTTATTTCAAATGATGGTGAATAACTAACTAACAATAGATTGTCTATGAAGCGGGAAAATGCAGCTATTGCTGTTGTGAATACAATTACATCTGTTTTGTTCATTTGGTAATAAATTGCTTACTTACAATGCAGTTACTAATGACCTATGAGCACTTGTTTCGTATACGTAATGAGTAAATAATCAAAACGGTAATTGTCTTTGGAACATTCATGACACAGGTGTTACATTTTTGTAGCACTAATAGATGCTTGGGACAACAGACGCAACATCGAAAGTAACTTACAGCCTGGAACAAGGGTTGTTCCAGGCTGTAAGTTGCATCTAAAAATAGAAAAAAATAATTTTTATTATCATCTACTATTGTATCGTAGTAGATAACAACCTGGTTTAGTGGATGCATAAATAATACATAGACAGCATAGCATTGTACGATCGAAGCCGATAACAATACCTCCACATATTATGTTCGTGGGTGCAAGTACTTAAAACATAGAGTTTTTATTGCATCATATTTAGAAACACCACAATTTCTACTCTACTAATACTAATACTATGCAAATTCGAATTCCAAAGTGTGTAATTGAAACAACTAAAGGATAGTATAGTTAGTACTTCATTGTTTAGTAAAACTTGATAGCTAAAAACTTTTCTTAAATCAGGAAACTACGGTATGCCATACAAAGAAAAGCAAACTGCGCGTCTTATTACTTTTGCATGTTTTTAGGAGCCACAATTTCAGATCCAAACGGATCATCAACATCAGCCTGATTCCGTCCACTGCTGGATGTAGGCGCGCCACTAAACTCGATATTCAGCTCTTGGAGTTCTCACCCTACCATGATCTTTCTTTTTTAAAAACGTCGCCCTACGAGATCGGTTATAAACATACAATTTCACATACACATGACACCCAGACCCGGAACAACAATTTGTTGATCACACAAAGAACAACTCTTTATGTGATCTACAAATTTCCGTGCGGGAATCGAACCCGCGACACGTTGCACGGCAGCCACTTGCCACCAACCGTGCATTCAATCGATGTAAACGGAAAATTTAGACAGGGCGAAACTATGATGAAAAATGTCCTGTATGGGTACAAATAGCCACTTTTGTCCATTTGCCATGTGGAAGGAAGACAGGGACACAGTACAGGGATCATTGCATCATCTCCCATCAAGTGTCGCGATGTCGTGCAAAAACCAATTGGCAGAGTCCGTTAGTAAATTGTTTGACATTTAGCCTACACCTGTTGTGACTGTGTATTACGGTAGTGCATAACTACCTACTCTTTATAAAGGACTAGGTACTTACCATCACGGAATAGAAATTTATGAATAACTAAACATTCGATTCATATGAAGCGTCACCTAAATTTTTTTGTATTTATTTAGTTTTTGCTATTTGTCACGAATAATGTAAGATTATTTGTGAAATTTTCAACTGCTCAGATACTTACAACCAGCAGAATCTTAATAATAGTAAGGGTCCCTTTTATTCTTATCATGAAACTTAAAACCATCTATTTTCAGGTTTTTATGTGGTAAGACGGCAAGCGAGCATACGAATTACCTGATGGTAAGCAATCAGCGCTGCCCGAGATTTTGGGGGGAGGGTAAGGACAGGGCCTGCGTTAACCTCACTCACACGGCGAAACACATCGCTGTGCTTCACACCGGTTTTCTTTGAGGTCGTGGCATCACTCCTCCGACCACCATTCGTGCCGAAGCATGGGTCTCTCATACTTTGGATAGTCCTACATCTTCAAGGTCATTCAAAAACAAACTTCTTTAATAACGTCTTTGTAACGTAAAATTACTGAAAATTTAGCAGATGGCGTGTTATTGTCATGAAACCCACTCTGTGACCCTTTTACAAGGTACTTAAGCGATTGCAACATTAGATACCTACCTACCTGTTATTGGTACTAAAAATCGGTTTTCTGTTAGATTAGATATAAGCTATAGCACGGATTTACATATTAGGTATTATGTACCTATCGTACGTAACATAACGACAAGTGCACAGAGATAGTTCTGCCTGTAACAAAAACATGCAGAAACAATGGGTCATTTGAATCGTTCAATTCTCGGAGTGTTTTGTTAATAAACGGGATAGGTATTGTGCCCACGCTCCTACGTATTAATATAGTTGTAGCATCCTATGGAGGCAAGTCAGGAGCATTTTTTTATGGAATAAGTTATCTATCGACCTATAGATCCTATGGCAGTGAGAAACCGGCGCCGTCCTTAGACTCTACAACGAAAAGATACAAGTGTGTGGCGGGCTCATCGGGATTTGAGAATTTGTGGACGGGAGGTACCTACACCTAATTGAAGTAATTGTGTCAATTGTGAAATACATAAAATGGCTATCTTACCGATACAGGACGTCAAACGGCTGTATTCTTCGTTACGGACGAAAATAGATATGTAGGTATTTTTATGCAGGCACCTAATTACGTATTAAAAATCTGTGATTATAAATTCATAAATTATGCCCCATTCTGTGCGTTGGAAATGTCCCTATAAGCACTGAAAATTGTATAAGTACCTAACTTCGTAACTAAACCGAGGAATTCCTAAGTCCTAGATAGGTACCCATTTGCACGCTTGCAACATTTGATCAACAACAAACTTGTTTTTTTTTTAAGTTATCTTGACAGTTTGGTTTGTAACACTAATAGTAATGATTAATTAATGAAATCTAAATTAACTTTACTCAATTCATGTATCAACTATCAGCGAATGAATTTATCGAACAGTCTGGTTCTCAATCTGACCCCGTCTGACATAGGTACCTATTACGTAAAACCTTGAAATATCAAAATACCTACAAGCTTTAATACGATAAACTATTTATGTTGGTAGGTATTGCTATGGCAACAGCGTGTATCTTCAATTAAATCATTGGGTATAGGCAATGATGTATAAAACTATATAATACGTCATTGGGTATAGGTACCTACTTTCCTACTAGAATAAGTTTGGGAAATTTTAAACTTAGATATTTACTTATACGTAGGTAGGTACTTACAAGATGAATATTAAAAAGATTCTGGGGGCTGCATATAAGTCAAGCCGGGCCTTGGTTCTGACAGTTCCTGCCCTAGATAACGGATATACCAATACTTATACATATAAATATATGTAATCATCTTCTACCATAGATAGATAAGTAGTCATTATTTCAGTGTCATTCATTACGTCAAACTTATTGATTTACATAAAAACTTCATTAGGTCAAGGTCATCGTTAGATTCGTGACTTCTTCAGTTAGTTAGAACATAGGCTTTATCACACAGCACGTACCTTCTATATTTAATGTTACGATCTTGCAATGTGCAAGTCTCTATGCAGCTAAGTACTTCAACCAACGATACCGTTATTGGAAAACCCAGGCTCATTACCCACTTGACGTTCGTCCCGTAATCCTGTATATGCTGTCTAGCCGTGCAATGAACCTAGAGAGCTACTTATAAGAATCATACTATTTTAGTAATAGTAACATAAGTTTTTTTAAATGGTTATGGTATAGTATAAAGAGAAGGCATTCTTTCTGTACTTTTTTTAAGTGTAAGAGAGCCAAGCTTTGACACGAATGGTTCGGCTTGAGCGTCATCATCATCAGCCTGATGCCGTCCACTGCTTGACATAAGCCATTTGAACGCCTTGTAAGTTTTTTCACAATGTAGGTACAATGGCGGATTTAACGCCTGAGGCGTTCTCTACCAGTCTAATTTAGGGTGGTGGAAAAATAGAAGTGTATAGGGTGTAGTGTAGGGTAATTCTGTTCTCGCGCGCGTGTACAGTTTGTGCGGAGAGCGTCGTCGGGGCGAGGCGAGGCGCCTCTGCCGCGCCAAATTAGTGCGTGGCGGAATGAGCTCCGGCGAGATCTCATGGCAGAGTGGAAGCAACGACTGTCGCAACCGGGGGTCGGGCACGTTGTTATAGCAGCGGTAAGACCCCTCTTTGAGGAGTGGCTTGAGAGACGCCACGGTGCTTACCGGTCACGGCAGCTTCGGTAGGTTCCTGTTTCGGATCCAGCGGGAGGAAACGCCGCCCGAAAACACGTCTACCCCAACGGTCATCGGTCCTTTGAGAAATGTGACCTGCCCACTGCCACTTCAGTTTGCTAATTC